CTGGCTGTGGCAGGGCCTGGCAGCTGGGTTCCCGCGGGTTTTTACCCTCAAAGCCGCAGGGATCGCAGGCGACAGAGGCCACGGTAAATCGCAGGTGACTCCGTCAGGGAGACCAGGCCGTTTGCCTGTCGGCTGATCGTGAGGATTCGTGGCACTGTACCGGCAGTGCTGCTGTCAGAGGTGTGGGGAAGGTTTTGCGGGAGACAGATGGTGGGAGAGCACCCAGCGTTCAACCAGGTTGAAGTAGAGAAGTGCGGAGCTTGCCTCTGTCGTAGGAATTCTGTCCCAGTCAAAAGAGCGATACAGGTGGGAGCTGCTGGACTCAGTACAGCTGTCAAAACCCGAGAGGAGCGCCTGTCTGACTGCGTGGTGTTCCTCCTCTGTCACAGTGTCACCTGTGGTGGGACCAGACCCCGACAGGGACACAAGTAGGGGGGCTGTTTCCAAACAGGATGGTTCTTCTCCCTTTCCTGGTGGTCTCCCCACCTTCCATACGTTGGCAGCGGGGAGTGGGATTATATGGGAGACTTTTCTTGTTGCTGGGTCAGTCCGTCAGCTGGATCAATCTGCTGATCCGCCTGGCTGTGCAGCGGCTGATGCTGGGGAGGAGGTGGTGGCTGGAGCTCAGCAGCCCTTGCTCACCTTGCTTCCATGCTGCAGGACCACCGCAGCCCTCGCCCTTGTTTGTACCTCCAAGCTGAGGAGTTTTCGTGAGGAAGGGACGTCCACCAAGCAGGTAGCAGACTCCATTCTTGTGCAAGTTGCTGTTGGTTCTGGAGTCTGCGTAGGTCATACGAGGCCATTTCATGTGAAGCTGAGTCCTTTTTCCATCAGTAACTGAGCATGACAAAACCTACAACCCTTGCTCACGTGGTTCTCGTCTTCATGTTGCAGCAGCCAAGGAGAAGGAGAGGCGAAAGTTCATTCGATATTAACAACATTGTCATCCCGATGTCCGTTGCTGCGACGACCCGTGTGGAGAAGCTGCAGTACAAAGAGATCCTCACACCCAGGTACGTGCCCGATCCCTGGCTCCAGCGGGGCTGTCACATCCCAGGCTTTCACTGTCCAAATGTCCCATCAAAAGCTCAGCCTGGCCTGGGGCTTTGCTCCCGGTGGCTGCCAGTGCTGGTGAGGAAAGGAGTTTTCTGCTTTCTTCAAAGTAGGAGAAAGTTTGGAAAACTTTGGAGATCTTCTGATCATAGTATTGATAGAGACTTGCTGAGTCAGGGAATGTGTTGTCGCAGTGTCCCTCATGCACAAAAGCCACCTGCCCTGCTCTGGTCTCTTTGTGCAATCTAAGATCGTGCTGGTTGTCCTCTGTCCTACTGCAAAGCTGCTGAGGACGTTGAGCCAAAGGTCCTGGTGATTTCCGAGCTCTGCGTGTGTCTGAGCTGGGTGGTGGGTGCCTGGGCCAGGTTAACTGGGCCCCTGCCTTGGGCCGCACCGGCCGGGAGCAGCACACCCACGCCGGGGCAGTGATAGGAACCGGGAGTTTTCTCCGCCCAAGCTGAGTGCAAGGAGGCAAGCCGTCGGCCCTGGTTTGGATCTTCTTGGATTAACTCTGTGGGTGAGATCAGCTGCTGGTTTGTGTCGGTGGGAGTGTGCTGACCTGCTGCAGCGCTGGTGCGGCTTCTTCATCCAAACTGCCCAGTTTCCAACCCTCCTTTTCCCTCCCAGTTCTCCATGTCTCTTTCCCAGC